TTCCTGTCCTTTTGTTTTCCCGCCTTGATCATGTTCATCCAGATCTAAGAGTATATAATGTCTGTTGGTCAGTCTGCTGCAGGTCGTCTTTGTGCCTCGTGTCAAACATTCATGCAGTTTAAATAGTGTCGTGTTAAACTTTGGTTTGGATTATTGTGTTGTGGTGTTCTGCCTTTGCCCTCCAGATTTCTTTGTTTGTGCTTATCGAAGTTTCATTTAATCAAGTAAAAAAACAGTTTTAACCTCGAGGACTTGTGTCGCGTCGTGCCTTTGAGTCCTGCTTCTTGGTTCCAGTTATAACAACTATAACATGATTTCCCTTTTGGGGATCAATAAAGTCAAAATTTATAAAATATAAGACAATGATAGCTATGTTTTTTATTTTTTTATTTTTTTTGTGACTTTCTTGTGCTGGTTGTGACCATATTGTATTTTTAGAAGAGAGGAAACACCAGTGGCTGTTAACCACAGAAAGAAAGAGACAAATACATTCTAATGAGTTCACAATGTGGGTTTAGAGGAACACACAATAACACCCACAGTTCCTGTTCTCAACTCAGGCAAAGCGAAGCAGGGTTGCGGGCATTGAAACCAGATCTTCTGACAGCGACGAATATGAGCCTGGAAAGAAGGAACCGCAATCTCCTCCTCCAGAACAGAGAGCAGAGTGGGCTGATAACCCAATGAACACTGAAAAGGAGACATAACAGAGGCTGCGCTGAGGGAGTTGTGGGAATATTCCACCCAGGTGAATCGTGTGCTCCATGAAGATGGGTTGTTAGCAGTGATGCAACGGAGGGTAGCTTCCAGGTCCTGATTTGCTCGTTCTGTTTGTCCATTGTTCTGGGGATGAAAACCAGAGGAAAGACTCACCGAGGCTCCGAGGGCTGAACAGAAGGATTTCCAAACTTGAGATAAATTGAGTACCATGATCAGAAACTATGTCCGAAGGGATCCCATGCAGGTGGAACACATGATGAACTAGGTGGTCAGCAGTCTCTCGACCTGTGGGGAGTTTAGGGAGAGCCACAAAATGGACAGCTTTGGAGAATTGATCCACAATAGTCAAACTGTGTTACCTTTTGAGGTAGGAAGGCCTGTGACAAAGTCCAGAGCTATATTGGTCCAGGGACATCCTGGTATGGGCAATAGACGAAGCAAACCAGCTGGTGCCTGATGGGAGGCTTTTCCGCAGGCACACAGTGCAGGCAGAGATGTATGCCCTGGTGTCTGTTTCCATGGCAGGCTACCAGGAATGTTGCATAAGGAGGAACAGTATGGACTATGCCATGATGGGAGGCAAACCTGGAAGTGTGCCCCGACTGAGGCACCTGAGAACGGATAGAGTCAGGAATAAAAAGTCTATTAGGTGGACCGTTACCTGGGTCTTGTTTTATCCGCTGGGCCTGCCTCACCGAGGACTAATAAGGACAAGGAGCCTTCTCAGCACTTTTCGGACATGGAGAGTGTGTTCCTGGAGGTTCTGGGAGAAGATGAGAATGTCGTCTAGGTAGACAAACACAAAACGGTTAAGGAAGTCTCTGAGATAATCATTCACTAATGCCTGAAACACTGCATTGGGCATTGGTTAGGCCGAAAGGCTAACCAAGTATTCAAAATGTCCTAACGGGTGTTGAATGCTGTCTTCCCTTCATCCCCCTTCCTAATCCTAACCAAGTGGTCTACATTCCTCAGGTCCAGCTTTGAGAAGACAGTGGCACCGTGAAGAGGTTCAAAAGCAGAACTTATAAGTGGCAGAGGATACTTGTTTTTGACAGTTATGTTATTCATGCCTCGGTAATCAATACATGGATGAAGGGTTTTGTCCTTCTTGGAGACAAAGAAGAACCCAGCACCAACAGGAGAGGAAGATAGCTGCAGCAACCGAGTTGTTTATGTATTTTTCCATTGCCCCCTTTCAGGACTGTTACTTTCTTGTGCTGGTTGTTACTGACCTATGACCATATTGTATTTTCAGAAGAGAGGAAACCTCAGTGGCTGTTAACCACAGAAAGAAAGCGACAAATACATTCCCGAGTTAACAATGTGGGTTTAGAGGAACACAATAACACCTAGCTGAGTTCCTGTTCTCAGCTCAGACAGACAGTGTGCTCTGTTCAGTCAGTTCAGTCTGTATGAAGATGAGGGGGAATATCTGCTGCTGCCTGTTAGCTTTTGTTCTGAGCTGCAATGTCACTGCAGGTAAGAACTTTTCAAACTGTTCAGTCTGTGCAGCACTGTCATCAGTTTTAATAATGTTGTTTTATATTTTCATAGAAATGATGAAACAGAGTTACTGTGAGGTAAAGTGAACATTACTTCAGGAAGTGTGTTTGTAATTAGTCTCGATAGATTAACTGATGTGAGTAATGAGCTCGATCAGAAGGAATACATTAACAAACATCTGCTCACATATTTTATGTTGCCTTAAATGACGATAATGTTCTGTGCATTCAACAGTTGATTGTGACTCTGATAGTAAACTGTTTGTTCAATGCAATATTAGAAATGCTGACATTGTGAGAACAGATGCTAATTTAATGTCTGTTTCTTTTACAGCAATAATCCATGAAATAGTTGAGGAGAAGGACCCTGTCTTTCTGAGTTGTCCTCACTCTGTGGAGGGTAAAGTGACGTGGGGCAGAGAGAGAGATGGACGCAGAGTTGACATACTTACAGCTGATGGTGACAGAGACATAAGACACAATGATCCAGGCGAACGATACAGGTCATTAGTAGATAAATCACTTTACATTCATAGAGTTACTGTCTCAGACACTGGAAGATACTTCTGTAATAATGAACCAGCTGTGGAGCTGACGGTGATCCCATCAGGTAACATCAGACTTTAATAAAGTTGTTCTGTTTTCTCTTCATGTCTCTGAGCTAAATGTTTCATTTTTATTAAACGTTCACATATTAATGAAATGGTGGATTTCAAATGTAAATGTGTTTTAAGCTTTAAAGGTTTCAGTTTCATTCATCAGTAGATTGGCAGGAACAGAAGGGAATTAATTTTTTATATTCACTTCCTGGTACTATAGTTGAGTTTTACGTCTGCAGTTCTGATGTTATTTTTAGATTCTAACGCGTTTCACTAAATATCTAGATTATAGACTATCTCTGATCTCTTCTGCACATCTCTCACATAGCTCTGCTCTAAAACCTAATTCAAGAAGTTATTTTATGATCTACAGTATATTTTAACCTAAAATGCAGTGACAGATGTTAGTTCCTCAGTTTCACATGGTCTCTGACTTTACCCTGAATCTGTGTGATAAGTTTATGATGGTACATTATAAAATATGAATCCTGTGTTGTTTGCTGTGTACAGGAACAACCAGACTTGATGCTGCAGAGAGGACCACCATCACTCTGAAATGTCCTCCTGATGTTGGAGGATCAGATGTTCCAACATGGAGCAGAGACGCTGTTGAAATACAACAACAGAGACGGTTTCATGTTTCAACTGTGAACAACACGTTGATAATAACAGACCTGCAGCCTGCTGACTCTGGACTTTATTACTGTGATGGAAAACTTGCTGCGTATCTGACTGTGAGCAAAGGTGAGACATCTGAAAGAGGTGAGACACAAGAAGTGAGACAGGAAGACAGAAATATGGGCAGAATAAGCAGCTGCTGTATGCCAACACTATACACATAAACTGTGTGGTCAAGATCTGCTAGTTAACAACACTGAGAGATTCAGACTTTACTACAAAATCGACTTTAACTCGTTTAATTCTGAACCTGAATTTGGTTTGTCATATATATGAGAAATTGAACCTGATACTGGTTGGAATTAATTCAGTCACTGTGCAGGATTCATTTACACGTGACTTTTGCTACAAACCTGCAAATGTGTGTGGAGATCTGTCAGTGTGTCTCAGTAGCTGTACAGCCTACAGACCAGCAGATGGAGGTAGTGTCTATTGTTTTACAGCCAAATAGTGATATGGGGCACTGGATATATTAAATTTACTGTTTATCAGACCAAAACTGAGTCATGAATTAGGTTAAAAAAAAACAATAGATGAATAATAACACATATTTAGATTATTTTACACATTTGCAAATCTGATACACACAGATACAGATACAGTTACTCTGAGCTCTGTGTGTGAGAGCCTCAGTGCAGCTCAGTTCTAACCTTTAGATACAGAATCTACTGGTTGTAAATATGATGTAGTTCACATCAACATACTGCCCACTGTATTCTCTCTGCCCCACACAGCGACAGCAACATCAGAAACAAAAGGAACTCCTACAACTACAGTCATTGTTTGGGATCAATGTAAAGATTGCAGTCTGGTGCTTCAGTCGTCTAAAGCAGTCGGAACCATTGTGACAAAATAGAAAAAAGCTGATATTTAGCATAAACTCCTGAGAATGAGGCTGTTACTCTTTTCACATTCAAATGTTAAAAGTTTAATTTTAATTTTTTGTACATCAGTGGTAACTAATAAGATGCTACTACCAACTCTTTTTGACACGCAGCAAAGGGCAGCAGGTACTGAGAATAACATACAATACATTATTATGTGGACGAGTGTGGCTGCGATCACCACTGACAACAACCCTCCTCTGTATCTTTAGTCTGAACTGGTTATAATGTGGGAACAACAGGTTCACATTCATTAAACAAGGTCACATAATGAACACTGTGCATTCAACAGTTGATTGTGACTCTGATAGTAAACAAACAACAATACTGCTGTGTGCTAACCAGTGACACTAACATCTACTATGGGAGCCATGTTGGTTACAGTAATACTATTAGCAACCAGAAAATCCCAGAATGTAAGCACGATGCAATTACATCAGCATACTGTACGACTCCATACAGACGGTGAAACAACACCAACATCAACAACATCAACAACAACAACATCAACAACATCAACAACATCATCAACATCAACAACATCAACAACACCAACAACACCAGCAGCAGAAAGAACTACAGGAACTACAGTATTACAGTGTAAGTACATCCCTCTCTTCTGCTCACTCTCAGCTAAATGCATCAGAGATCTTCTGTGTTATTAATTCTTACTTTGTCTCTCAGCGCCTCCTAAAGACCAGAGAACACCTCTTAGTTTGGTGATTGAAGTCCTTTTCCTCTTCCTCTTCATCATCATCAACACCAACATCATCATCTGCTGTAGACAGAGACGCGGGTTTGAGAGACAAGGTGAACAAACTGAGTGAATAGACTGACGTGTCAAAGGCTGATTGTTTTTGGTTTTTATATTTATATTTGGGGCTTTTTGAAGGAAGGAAAGTGGAAGAGAGAGGAGACGACACGCAGCTAGGGGCCACAGGTCAGACTCAAACCCACCGTCGCTACAGCTCAGCCTTGGTACATGTGGTACCAGCTCTACCAGGTCAGCTACCAGGGCACCCTCCCTCCCCTGGTTTGTCATTTTAAAGCAGATAACCACTGATTACTCAGCAGATTACTGAAACTGAGAACTTGTGACAATCTTATTCTGCAGAGACTGAAGAAATGGACCCCGAGTATGACGATATAGAGGATGGATCATTGTTTCAATCTACAAACGGTGATCACTCAGGGCTCTTCTCCTCCTTCTTTCTTGTCTAACTTTATAAATTGGATGAATCTCACGTTGATGTCCACAGATTTCTAAAGTTCAGAAACTGTAATCAGGTTTATCCTTGAGTTGGTTCTGGTTAATGATGGCTGTTGGTTAATGTTTTAATAGATGAATCAAACCACAGTGATCCAACGTATTCAACCATCCCTGATCTTCCTCCAGTGCAAATGAAGACCGGTAAAGACATCAACATTTACAGTCACACATTTTAACATTGAACCAAATGGTTATTCATTGTATTTAATATTTTTTTACAGACACATTTCCACCTAATGAGTTCTCGTAATCCTGGATCAGCTGCACTTTTCTTGGTGGAAATAATAAAGGTAACTTTAATCATCAGCTCCACATTCTGGGTTTGTTGTATTAAATGTAAATACATTTGTACTGTAGGTTTACTGGATCAAAGAGCCGTTATAATATGAGATTTCTTTTCCTCACAGCCGACTGACAACACGTATTCTTTACTGGAGAAACCCAAAGCAGCTGGAAACCAGTGACCAACGTTGGACCTGAATATTGAGCCGCTGTTGGGTTGAAACATGTTTCTGTAAGAGCTGTTTATAGGAAAATACTGGGAGGGAAAAGCTGATTTATGTTTTGAGCGTTGAGCTTAAAACTGTTTGACTGGCGAAAAAAAGCAAATGTGACTTATTTCATGTGTACATTAGGATCCTCACATCATTCCCAAATGTAAAAATCTTATGAAATATGTAAAATCATCTTTTTCTTAAGCTCCATGAAATTTACCTTTGGGCATTATATTGTAATTAACAAGAAGAAACTTGAAAAACTTGCTGTTTTATGTTTTTCTAAATGCTGTTTTAAATGTATTTGAGAATTTCTTTTATTAAAAACAACTGAACATTTGAGATCATTAAGAGCATCCTTCCATGTAAGCCGCTGTGTCAGCAAAGATTTCACTATTGTTGTTAATCAGTGTGATCAGATTAAAAGAGCAGTGAAGGAATCTGATACATACACCAACACATTGATCAGCCAGTGAGAGCAGAGAGAGACCATAAAGGCTCTTATATACTTGCCGTTCCCGACCTGTCGTGCGACAATGTGACGTCAAAATGACGTAGATCTCGCTGGCGCGCCAGGATTTCACGCACCACTCCTTTTTTTTCAGCTGAGCGCGCCAAAGCAGAAACAGGAAGATGGACGAGTTCGAGGGCAAGCTTTCCGAGCAAGTGCGCCTCTTCAGGCATCTGTACGATCCTTCAATGAAGGAACACAGAGATGCCCAGAGGTGCCAGAATTCATGGCGAGAAATGTTGGAAAAGAGGAGGCCATATGCCAGAAAATTTGGAAGAACCTCCGCGACCGATTTGGAAAATCAAAAAAGAGGTCTGCCATTGTTCACCTTTTTCTTCTTCTTCTAGTGCGTAGAAATAGCAAAGTCGGTAGCCTTTCCTCAGTTGCGACACCTCTGTTCAGGAGAAGACTGCAACTAGTGTCGCGACCACCAGCGCAAGTGTAAACAGTTACGGCGCTCCGGTGACGTCACATTGTCGTGCTACAGGTCGGGAACGGCGAGTGTATAAGAGCTTTAATGTGTCACACACTAACACTATGGTCTTAGTGTTGCAGATCACTTCACTTCCTGTCCTTTTGTTTGCCCCGCCTTGATCATGTTCACCTAAATCGGCTGTTAACCACAGAAAGAAAGAGACAAATACATTTGAATGAGGTAACAATGTGGGTTTAGAGTAACACACAATAACACCTAGCTGAGTTCCTGTTCCCAGCTCAGACAGACAGCGTGCTCTGTTCAGTCAGTTCAGTCTGTATGAAGATGAGGGGGAATATCTGCTGCTGCCTGTTAGCTTTTGTTCTGAGCTGCAATGTCACTGCAGGTAAGAACTTTTCAAACTGTTCAGTCTGTGCAGCACTGTCATCAGTTTTAATAATGTTGTTTTATATTTTCATAGAAAGGATGAAACAGAGTTACTGTGAGGTAAAGTGAACATTAAACATCTGCTCACATATTTTATGTTGCTTTTATGACCATAAAGTTCTGTAGAAGTGTTCGAACCCTGGCTTCTGAAGGTGAGAGATGTGCAAACATATAACCTACTATCAACACATTTCACTTCATTTAGAGAATATTTAGCCTGGAGCAATGGTCTGTAAAGAACAAGCAGTAACAAAAGCCGACTGTTGCGCAGCCTCACTGCACTGTGTCTTGGCCAGAAAGTAACACTAGAACACACCCATTGACCACAGTGAGCTGTCAGACTCTCACAGTGCTTTACTATCAGCATATTATTTATTACAGGAACCTAAATATACTGGAAAATATAAATGCATGTATTTTATTTTGAAAGGTATTTTTAGAGCTCCCCTTAAAGTTGGTTGAACTTTGAATTTTGATGCAATTTGCTCCACTTTCTCTCTGTGGACGAGTGTGGCTGCAATCTCCACTGACAACAGCCCTCCTCTGTATCTTTAGTGTGAACTGGTTATAATGTGGGAACAACAGGTTCACATTCATTAAACAAGGTCACATAATGAACACTGTGCATTCAACAGTTGATTGTGGCTCTGATAGTAAACTGTTTGTTCAATGCAATATTAGAAATGCTGACATTGTGAGAACAGCTGCTAATTTAATGTCTGTTTCTATAGTTGAGGAGAAGGACCCTGTCTTTCTGAGTTGTCCTCACTCTGTGGAGGGTAAAGTGACGTGGAGCAGAGAGAGAGATGGAACTAAAGTTGACATACTTACAGCTGATGGTGACAGAGAGATAAGACACAATGATCCAGGCAAACGATACAGTTCACAGGCAGATAAATCACTTTACATTCATAGAGTTACTGTCTCAGACACTGGAAGATACTTCTGTAATAATGAACCAGCTGTGGAGCTGACGGTGATCCCATCAGGTAACATCAGACTTTAATAAAGTTGTTCTGTTTTCTCTTCATGTCTCTGAGCTAAATGTTTCATTTTTATTAAACTTTCACATATTAATGAAATGGTGGATTTCAAATGTAAATGTGTTTTTTAGGTTTCAGTTTCATCCATCAGTAGATTGGCAGGAACAGAAGGGAATTCATTTTCCATATTTACTTCCTGGTACTGTAGTTGAGTTTTGGTGAACGTCTGCAGTTCTGATTTTATTTCTTTCACTAAATGTGAAATCAAACACATTATATATGTATACAACTATCTCTGATCTCATCTGCACATCTCTCTAACACCTAATTCAGGAACTTATTTGATGACGTATATTTTAAACTAAAATACTGCTGTGCAGTGACAGATGTTAGTTCCTCAGTTTCACACGGTCTCTGACTTTACCCTGAATCTGTGTGATAAGTTTATGATGGTACATTATAAAATATGTTCCAACATGGAGCAGAGACGCTGTTGAAATACAACAACAGAGACGGTTTCATGTTTCACCTGCTGACAACACGTTGATAATAACAGACCTGCAGCCTGCTGACTCTGGACTTTATTACTGTGATGGTAAACTTGCTGCGTATCTAATTGTGAACAAAGGTGAGACATCTGAAAGAGGTGAGACACAAGAAGTGAGACAGGAAGACAGAAATATGGGCAGAATAAGCAGCTGCTGTATGCCAACACTATACACATAAACTGTGTGGTCAAGATCTGCTAGTTAACAACACTGAGAGATTCAGACTTTACTACAAAATCGACTTTAACTCGCTTAATTCTGAACCTGAATTTGGTTTGTCATATATATGAGAAATTGAACCTGATACTGGTTGAATTAATTCAGTCACTGTGCAGGATTCATTTACAAAGTGACTTTTGCTACAAACCTGCAAATGTGTGTGGGAGATCTGTCAGTGTGTCTCAGTAGCTGTACAGCCTACAGACCAGCAGGTGGAGGTAGTGTCTATTGTTTTACAGCCAAATAGTGATATGGGGCACTGGATATATTACATTTACTGTTTATCAGACCAAAACTGAGTCATGAATTAGGTTTAAAAAACAATAGATGAATAATAACACATATTTAGATTATTTTACACATTTGCAAATCTGATTACACACACACACACACACACACACACACACAGATACAGATACAGTTACTCTGAGCTCTGTGTGTGAGAGCCTCAATGCAGCTCAGTTCTAACCTTTAGATACAGAATCTACTGGTTGTAAATATGATGTAGTTCACATCAACCTACTTCCCACTGTATTCTCTCTGCCCCACACAGAGGCAGCAACATCAACGACAAAAGGAACTCCTACAACTAGAGTCATTGTTTGGGATCAATGTAAAGATTGCAGTCTGGTGCTTCAGTCGTCTAAAGCAGTCGGAACCATTGTGACAAAATAGAAAAAGCTGATATTTAGCATAAACTCCTGAGAATGAGGCTGTTACAATTTTCACATTCAAATGTTAAATGTTTAATTTTCTATTCATGTGT